AACAAATAAACATCGCATGATACCCTCTTGTTAATTATTCTCTAAACGTTTCATTTTAAATTCGCTTTTTTTTTTTATTTTTGTCGATGACGCAATCTGTGCGTTTGTTGCAAGATTCGAGATCACGTGACGTAAACAGTCCCGACTTTTGACGCACCATAGGCCAAGGGTTGGTCAGGAGAGTAGCGTATCAGAAACCCTTGGCTAGCGAAGATGATATTTCGTTCGATTGATTCCAAGAGTAGGCAGCTTGTAAACTGCATTGTAAACAATTATTCAAATCAATACATAACATCGGGTCTGTTCATTTGATTACCGTTCAAGACTCGTCACAGACCGCATTCGATGACGAAGAGGAATTCTTGTCCAGCCCTGCGACCAAGGGTCAAGTCATTGCCGTTTACGCAGATGACCTTGATCACGACTATTTTTTTTTAGAAGTTCAGGAACCTGTTCATATTTTGGACAGCAAAAAGAAAAACTGATCCATGGTGCTCAACTTTTCACAGTATTGAGACCATAAATGGACTGTATTAAGACAGTACTAAGCAGAATCCTCTATCATATAAACTTGTAATCACTCGGTGTACTGAATATGCATGTAGTTCCTATTATGTATTCTACCACGCTGTGACAAGATTTCGAGTGTATTATAGAGGGTTAAATGTTTTACATTCCCAAGAGGACTTCATAAAGAAAATTACACAATGTAAATATTGACAAGAAGAATATTCCAAAGATTAATGTAATTGCTGTACAAAATTGTTATGTTACTATTTGTGAAGTTTTTCAGTTGAAACACATTAAAAATGTATAGCCCAACGTATACTAAGTATTTTTAACATTCTTATTAAATGAGATCTTGTACAAACTAATAATGTAAATGACCAATAGACTATAGTCTAGTTACCTTCTTAATAATAAGCAGTGTTATGTATATGTTGACATTTTCATAAACTGTTATGTACATGTTCGAGGCAATATCAACTTCTCAAACAGAAGTAATGTTTATTTCTAAAGCTCTTTCACAACTCTAAAAGGATCGATGGTTCTGGGCCTTGGATTTTCAAACCTTAAATATAAAACACCATAACCGTTAAGAAAAACTAGTTTCGTGTCAGATTAAACAGGTCTGGACGATTTCCAAATATGGAAGTCAAGAACGATAACTGGAAGTTGCTATAAATATACATCATTTACACGTACATATTTTTCTGCCCAATCAGACAACAGCATTTTTACACACCCCAAAACATATTTCAGAGGAACAAAAAGAGAACACGTGCTTTTGTTTTTTCCCTCAAAAAGATTTTTTTTGACAAAAAATCTTAAGAAGTAAGATGAGAAGTTTGGAAGAGTAAGGTATTCCCCACATATTTACCGTGAACAAACTTGACATTTTCATCTCGAAAAAGAAAAAAAAATAATGCATGTAACACAATGCGATCGTTTACAAAGGAATAGACCACACCGTCAAGCTATTATCAAGTACAACATTTACCAGAACATAAACTATACGTTAGTAAATATAATTTTGCTTAGGCGTCCGATTTTCATCGATAACGCGTAGTTTCCCTGCGTATAGATCTATTGCACACAAGTTCATTGTATAGACTACATGTAGTTTTAAAATAACACGGGTTTCATGAGCGCGTCGAATACCTTGTTATGTACATACGTGTCACTTTAAATGGACATAAGAAATGTGAAAAACGTGGAGAAAAGGGAATGTACATGAATGCTTTTTATCACCATATCTTTCCTCGCATACCAGAAACTGTATGGACGATTTTGTGATAAACACTCAGGGAATTATTCCCATACGAAAACATTTTCATGTCAGACTCTAAAAACTGAAAATCTGCCGTATTTATATCAAATTTCTTAACACAAGTTAAACTTTTGGGATTGCTACCTCGTAGTGACAGATTTTTAATCCCACTTAGAATTTATTCTAAGCTTTAAAGTCGTGTTTGTTCACGGTAGAATTGTCATATATACTATATCATTGCTAAATGTGCATAAAATTTACAAAAAGTTTGTTCTAAAAAAATCTTTTGAGCAAAAAACTTTAAAACCACGTGTTTAATTTATTTTCTCATGGGTTTGTCTAAATGCCGTTATCTGATTGGTCAGAAGGATTAACACCTTGTTTATTCTGTGTATTTATAGATATTCACGGTTATCGTTCTTCACTTCCATATTTGGAAATCGTCCAGACCTGTTAAAACAATAGAATGCTTTGGTTGTAAGTACGGGGATGAATTGCAGCTGTTGCAGAGAAATATGGAGATAATGAAGAGTATTCAGCTCAAAGTCCATTTAAACAATACAAATCGGGAGCAGAGTAAATACGGACCTCCAAAAACATCAGAGGTGGGATTAGGTCCCATGGAGGAGTGGGCATCCTTTGCCGACCGGTCACACCTGCCGTGTGCTCCTTGTCATGATCGGTAAAAATCTGTAGACAATTCAGTATGTAAAACAAATGGCCTAACAACGCCAGCCAGCATCAGACGCAATGACAGGCAGTATTTGCTGACAAGGCCACTCATCAAAAATAAATAACTCGCTTTTAAAAGCGGGTGTTTGTAGTTTTTGCCTGCAAAATAGCTTCAACCGTTTATTTCAGTACTAACAAACAAAGACATTTTACTGTTCATATTTATGTCTGTATGAATAGTCATGTAAAGTAGGTTTAAGTACGTTAAAATTGCTTTCATATGCTTAAATGATTGAAAAGCACACTGCAGAAGAAATTTATAAGAAACAATTCTAACCGGCGTTTACTGATTGATGAAAGAAGTGGAAAGTAACAAAATCTTCAATGAATGTAAATAAACCTGTATATAAACAATTTGTTTTCATCATTCTGGTACAGTAATTGCAATTTTGCTCATTCCCATTGAATTGTAACATAGAAATCGCAACTTCTAGGGTGGCCATTATCCAGCAAGTTGATCTTTAGTTCAAAGGCCTAGGATATTATGACTGAACATTATAGGCAGTTTCATAATACCGACATGCTGCAATAGACGACTTTCACATTTACAAAAGTTATTTCCCTTTGCGGGGTCAATTTGAGGTCAATCGACGTAAAACACTGTTTTCCCTTTATAAAATTACCGACTTGACAGGGTAATGTTTTATAAATGAAATCTGTTCATTATGTTTTTTATGTTGCCCCATGCTATGGCAATGCAGGAACGAATCAAAATTGTCATATACGTTTAAAGGTTAAAATCTTTACAGGTAAGTTACAAAGGACAAAGTGAGAAAAATGAGCCTTACGCTGACAACGGGAGATAACTCTTAAGAATGTGAAATTCGTCTATACAAGTACTTCTGCGGAGCTATGGCTCTGACAGCCTTATTCCTATTCCATAAGAGATTTTAGATAGTTCGCCGCTTAGATAGGACTTCATGTTTTCAGCTGTTTTAAACCAGATGGACTGTTAAAAAAATTACTACGCACAGAAACAAAATAAAACTTTAATTACAATGCAAGATCGATACGTAAAAAGAAGCAAGAAAACGAACTGCACATATATATTTTGATATAGTCCGTAAAGTTTCCGCCAGTGCGCTATTTACGGGCAGAAACAGGAAGTTGAGGAATGTTTTCGTTCGGAAATTAAGGAGAAATTAAAGAAGTCTTGAAATCACGGAAAAGCAATGCAAATGAATTCAGTCATCAACGTGCTCCGTCGACAACGTTTTTAAGCACTTAAGATTGATCTTTCAGTGTTATCTCATTGATATACTGCATGCTAGGAGCAATGAAAAATTCATTATCTGCGATCTTATTTGAGGTCTCCACTATTCCCGTCCTGGCTCGTGTAATATACAGTGTCTCAATCTACATGGACTTGTTTTAATACCTCATTTTTGAATGATAAAAGTTTTCTCCCTCCAAAAAGTCATTTAAAGTAGAGCTAATTATATATATGCAAAACGAACAATACTGATTTTTTTCTCTCTTAAGTGTTCATAATTTTATTTAAATTTCCTATAGATTTAGTTGTGGTTATTTAAGCAATAATTTTTTTAATGCGGGCGGAAGGTTGCAAACATTGCAGAAAAAAATACATATCCCGCCGATGAATTACACAATTATTAATGTACATGTACCTGTTACATCTCTTCTTGATGAAAGATTTGTTCACGGAACATGTAGGCTGTATTGAACACATAACTGTAAAATACACAAAACTGAAATATTTCTCTTTATTCGAGTTTTCCCATGTCCATCACAATGCATATCTCAATGTAGGAACATTTCCCAAACCCATTTACTAATTGGAATATTACGCTTGTGTTCCAAATCTGTAAATATGACAATTCTCAGTGGTATTTTAACGTCCTCGGTTTACCCGGATCTGTATTTACATAATCCAATTTTGTCAATCTGTCAAGTAAATTCTCTCAATATTTCTTTGAGGAGAAAATATGAAGCAATCAAAAGAAAGGAGAGAAGGGGGGTGCAGCCTCTAAATTTTCAAAAAAAAAAAAAAAAAAAAAAAAAAAAAAAAAAAATTAGTTTGATCCTATTCTGCTACTTAACTTGAAGTTGTGTTTACTGTACAGTACTTACATATTGATTCGTAATGTATTGATTCGTAATTTAATCAACTGTATCAAAGAGACGTTAATTTTTGAATGACTAAAATTTCATATTCAGAAAAACTTTATTTGGAGTAATGGCTTTTTTAAGTTTTATGATTTATGTCCAAGGTGAAAAGCATTGTAAAATTCATTACCATTTTTGAAGAATGTTTGAATATATTTGTCATCTTACGTATAATTTAGATTAAGCTGAGTTCATCTTTTCTCTCGCCGAATTCTTTTTTTTTTAACCTACGATTCGCAATTTACAGGGTTAAGAATACGCTAGAAAAACACCTGAAAGAAAATCAGGTTCAACCTTTATTTCGATCATCGGTACATTAAAATTATAAAATCCAACTTTCAATAAATCCAATAAAGCAGTAAAAAAAAAATCACCGTCGTTTGAGTAGTTTAATGACATCAGCTCGAACTTGGTTATTAACTATTCCATAAACTACAGGATTACTAGCATGGCCAAAAAAGAAAAGGTAGCGCAAAACAAGACTATGTGTGACGTTAAAAACATCCAACCAAAAAGGTGTCCATGTAACAACGTAGATCAAAGAACAAACAAAAAGCATAATAGAAGTTTTCCGTCTCACATTTGGTTTGGCTTGATGGCGATTTGGTCTACGTTTAATAGCACGAGGTTTTCTTCGCTCGGAAAAGTCCTCATGATCTTCCGTATTCCCTCTTGTTTTTTGATAATTGGTATGTATACTACAATCATGTTCACTCGATAATTCGTTGTTCTCGGGCTCTGTTGGTGTAGGATTTACTATTTTTGAGGAATATGTTTCGAACGCTCCTTTCCGTTGCATTTGATCTTTTTTGGATCTCATTAAAGATTCGTTTTCAACTAAACATAAAACGACTTCGTTTTCAGTTCCACTTAATTCGTTTGCTAGGTCAGCTGTATGATCTCTTCCCTCATTTATTTTTCTTACTACGTACTTACTCGGAGTAACAGGTCTAGACATTGAACGCCGGCGACGAAGAACACGTTTTAAGAGTCTTCTATAGATTAGAGCATATAACAAAACAGTGATTAGAATTCCAGACAAACAAAGTAACATAAGGAACCCCTGATAAATAGTAGTACCCAGGATGCCTATTACAGACGTTGTGAACTGACAGTATTCATCGAATGTTCCCTTTGATTTACTTCTTGTTACAGAAAAAATTGCTGGAGCGGGTGCTGAAAATAGAACAGTCACTATTGTCAAAGAAATCATGATTTTTCTTATCGCATGTTGGTCAAGCTTCCTCGCCGGGTGACAGATTGCAACATATCTCTCAAAAGCAATGGCACAGAGAACAGAATTACTCGTAAGTGTTGCCATGTGACGCACTATTTCCATCATTCGGCAAATCACATCATTTTGAACACGTTGAAGCTCATAGAAGATAGTGTAAGGAATGATTACGATGCAGATAAATAAATCCAATGCTGCAAGGGTTTTAATGAAAGTTTTCTGGTTATAAATCTCCTTTTGTCGCCTGTACACTGTAAAAATAATGATATTCCCGAGTCCTCCAAAAATAATGTAAACACCCGACATGATTAAGAACAAAATCATGTCAACATTCATGATCCTGGTAATTCCTTTTTGTCGTCTGAACGAACATTTTGTCCATTTTCCCAAAGCTACAATCGATAACACATATTTTCAACCGAGAACATTTTAATATCCTAATTAATATCTTCGGGTATTTTAGGCATGCATATTACATCCTCTATATTTTTCCTCTTTTCATTATTTCATCAACTGCAGTATAGAAACATCATGTAATGGAGTAACAAATTAAAGAACTAATAGAATATCCCGGAAGTTTCGGGTAAAAAGCCCATTTTTGGCTCATTCATTTTGCAATTTCCTAATCCTATTTAGTTAAACAGTAAATATGGTGGGGGATTTCCCATCTGTTTCAAATGTATTGGTAAATCTGTCATTTAATCCTGCTACATTAGTAACGATGGAATTTTTAAAGCATTTTGTGCACGAGATGCAAATAGTGTCAATACGGACAAATAATTAAGTGGCATGTGCCACAAAGCTCACGTGGAAATAAATCTGGCAAACGGTTAAATTTCAAAAGCTTTAACCTCTCTTTCATTGCCCCAAGGCATCCATTCAACTGACAAGATCTGAGCATTATTTTACCACCTGCAAACAAAAGTTTAGATGGGATCGAGGGGTTATGTATAAGAATCATCTTGTCCGCCTGCTGTCTTTCCGTGCAATCTTGTCCGGACTATTACTTTGTAATGGAGAACCATTGGAAGCTTATAATTGCTACAAAAGATTGTTTATGACCTAAAGGCGTGATATTGACCTAAGGTCATTCCGGCGAATTCAAGGTCATTAGCTAAAAGAATATAAAAATTTGTATAGCAGATTCTTTTAATGGAGAACCATTGGAAGTTCGATTTTGGTACAAAGATTGCTGTGTCCTGACATTGACCTAAGGTCATTTCGGCAAGTTCAGGGTCACTGGCAGAAATACTTGGCAAAAAAAAATGTTTATGACCTGAGGTGTTTCAAGACGAGGAATTTTATATATGAGACCAATGTGGGAAGCAAAGGGAGTCCAAAAGTGGCTAAAATGCATGTCATAAGTAAACATGCTAAAAACCAAAAAAGTTAAATGTTCTACATGGAAGCATTTTGTGAGAGAAGAGAGTTGCAGGCTTACAAAGCAAACACGTCCTTCATGGAGATGTTCTGATATAAACTATTACCAACAGCTCTTTGTATGTCGCCATTGTTGTATGACAATAGTAACATCTGTACATAATAAAATATATTTCAAATGTATAATATAGAATGTATTTCAAATGTGTTATTTTCTTTTTTAATTTAATGTGGTGAAATTTGCCTAACGCTGATTTCTTTGTAAGAGTCAGATGTGAAAATGATTTGTAATATTTTACATATACGTAAATGTAAATAGTTACGGAACATTAAATTTTGTATAAATGGTGTTTATGGTGTTGGTATCGTGTGTTATAACTTATAAGATTCCTTATGCATGTAAGCGCAGACGTCGTTCATCTCTTAAGTTCTTTTATGTAAACATGCAACAATAAATAGAATTATGTATCTTAATGTAGTCTACTTCTGTGCCAAGTTATATTGAAATCAAATGAAAACTGTAGGAGGAGTAGCGTTTTGAAAGTATTTCAGGGAAATTTCTATTTTTAGTAACCATGACAACACCATTCACCCAAATAAAAAAAAACAGAAATACATATTATGTATCGTAGTGTATTCTAACTGTGTGCCAAATTAGATTGAAATCAGACCAAAATTGTAGGAGGGGTAACGTTTAATGGGAATTTCACAAAAATTTCTATTTTAAGTAACCATGGCAACACTGGTCATCGAATTCAAAAACCAATGCAATAAATTATGTATCTTAGTATAGTCTTCTTGTATGCCTAATTGTATCAAAAGCAGACTAAAACTGTAGCAGGAGTGGCGTTTTAAAGGAATTTCACAGAAATTTCTATTTTTAGTAACCATGGCAACACCGTCCATCGAAATCAAAAACCGATGCACTAAATTATGTATCTTAGTGTAGTCTACTTGTGTGCCAAGTTATATTGAAATCGGACCAAAACTGTAGGAGGAGTAGCGTTTTAAAGGAATTTCACAGAAATTTCTATTTTTAGTAACCATGGCAACACCGTCCATCGAAATCAAAAACCGATGCATTAAATTATGTATCTTAGTGTAGTCTACTTGTGTGCCAAGTTATATTGAAATCGGACCAAAACTGTAGGAGGAGTAGCGTTTTAAAGGAATTTCACAGAAATTTCTATTTTTAGTAACCATGGCAACACCGTCCATCGAAATCAAAAACCGATGCATTAAATTCTGTATCTTAGTGTAGTCTACTTGTGTGCCAAGTTGTATTGAAATCGGACCAAAACTGTAGGAGGAGTAGCGTTTTGAAAAATTGTTTACAGACAGACGGACAGACAGACAGACGGACGGACGACGGACACCTTACTATCGCATAAGCTCTTCTGGTCTAAAATTAAAAGGCAAAAATAAAGAAAGGGGGTCTTGACCACACTCAAAAATCCTAGGGGTGGGGGGATGGGTGGGGGATAGAAGTCAACTCTCATAACTACAAAAATGTTTTTTACATACATTAGCGTGTGTCGGTATGACCGTACTGCAATAAAAGGTTGGCTAAAAGAAAGAAAGGGGGTCTTGACCACACTCAAAAATCCTAGGGGTGGGGGTGAGGAGATAGGCGTCAACTCTCTTAACTACAAAAATGTTTTTTTTAATATACATTAGCGTGTGACGGTTTGACCGTACTGCAATAAAAAATGGGGAGAAAGGGAACAAACGGTCTTTCAATGAATTGGGGGGGGGGGGGTCTTTCAAAATTGTACAAATGATATTCTTAATCATACATACGATTTTCTAAATCGTTCAAACTATTTTAAAACATACAGACGAATTTCTAAACTGTACAAATGATTTTCTAAATCGTTCTTACGATTTTCTAAATCGTTCAAACGGTTTAAAAAAAACATTCAAACGAATTTCTAATTCGTACAATTTTCTAAATAGGTCAAACGATGTTGTAAATAGTACAAACAATTTTCTGAATCGTACGAAGAAATTTTAATTATTTTTTTCTGCAATTGAAATGGCATTAAAATGTCGCTGTAGAAACTAACCGCGAGTCAATTTTATTCCTGTTGTACATGATATAGATTACAACACATTGCATTAATTTTGGGTCATAATACATTGCAGTCCATGATTAATTGCTCCAGAAACTTTACTCTTCATTATACAAATGTATTATACTTTTCAACTGCAGAGCGTACTTGTACGCGCCTGATTTGTCTTATCTACAGATATAACAGATTGCTTTTGATCATGCCTGTTTTTTTTTCCATTGCGCTGTATTTTCACTTAAAAAGGATCGGGGGGAAATAGAAGTGTTGGCTTTATGATATGATGCTCGGTAAGAGCCAGCACAGATTTTTTTTCTGTTTGCACTGATATGATATTGCTACAATGTACCTTGTTACGGTGGTAGATGGCAACCCATCTTGTGATAGATTTTGTCAATGAGGCATCTTTTTAACATTTATTTTAGAGTATTTTTTGTGAAGATGTATTACAGAGTAATTCTGAAAATTTCTTAGTTTCATTTTTATTGAAAAAGTAGTTGTTTATGATGTCGGAATGCCTCCAGAGTCTTTCACATTTGAAGTTCAAATTCTTAATTGCATGCTTTTCTTTCATTGACGCATATGTGAACTTTTAAATTGAATCAACATGATCAAGTTTTGAATCATAAAGATGGATTGCAGATCATAAGGTTCGTATTAAACATAACTAAAATTAATTTTTTTTTCTTTATCTGTTTTCATGTAGATATATATATATATAGGATCTCCCATGCTTTGTAGCTTGTATGATTTTTATGCAACGAATTGTGTTTGTAGTATTTTTTTATCCCCGAGCCTTGGCGAGGGGATAAAAACACGCAATGAGTTGCATAAAAATCATATCCAGCTACAAATCATGGGAAATTCTTTTTATCCCATGTTTTATGCATCACTATCAATATTTTACACTGTTTTTATAAAGGAATCAACTTTATTCTACTTCTTCATTTTCTCACAAAACAAATTGTGAAGTCAGTGGGATATGAACAAAATATCCAAAAGTGTATCCATGGGATAAAGGGTAAACATCAGATAAATCGATATATTAAGGATATTCACTAAATTGTGTTTCATGAAAAGTTTTTAATTATCAATTCCTTCAGAAAATATCATTTATCTTCATTTAGTTAAGGAAAGATAAGATGACTAATTAAAAAAAAATATTTAAAAAAAAATAGTCGTTCCGATGCCGGGAATCGAACCCGGGCCGTCTGGGTGAAAACCAGAAATCCTAACCACTAGACCACATCGGATCTTGTTACAATCAGTTACAAATGTACGTTAGACAAATACATGTATGCATACTTTTTCATTTCCATCAACGGTGTATCTGTTACCTGCAAGGATTTAAATATATTTGGAAATATTTGAATAAGCCTTAAATTATTTTAATTGCTAATCAAAATAATCTATATGTCATACGTATCATATTAACCAAAGAGAAGTGTCGCTTTTCACGCTATTCCCATATGTTCAATTAAATCGTCGAATTAGTTATGAAAAAAGTTTATACTTACAGGGCTTGTCCTTTTTTTCTTATCACCCATTGTTGATTGTGTACATGCATTCAGATAAACTTTTATTTTAGTCAGCGCGCGCGCGACGGAAAGTTTGGTGTCGAGCTTCAATGCACAGATAGTTCAGTAGATAATAGACGCATACTTGCTACTCTAGCGAGTGTGCGAGCGGATCTAACATCAAATTTTGGTTTTCCCGGTAATTAAATTGACGGTACAGCTTGCCTTATAAGTCATGAAACTTAAGTTCTAGTCCTACCGTTTATTACGACGGTACACACTTAGGATCTATATCATAATACATGTATAATTATAATACACATGTACTTTTGTAGTATAGTACTCTTCTGTACACACGTTAGATTTATAAGAATGTAAATGAACGTAGATAAGGTGCAATATTTCTCGCAATAAAAATTTAGTAATATTTGAAACATTCTTTTGTGGTAATTCCTTTATTACGTTTTTTTTTAGTTCTCAACCATAATAGCACAAACATTTTATATTTTTACATTTATCTGAGTCGCGTAAATTGGAGACAAAAGTTTTGATATAAATTTTGATATAAATATATGATATAATGGATTGTTTCTCCAAAATGTCCATCTATTTTTATCAAACCATACACGTGGGTATAGACTGAAGTGAACACATAGTATTTTCGAATGAGATAATGAATGTATTCACAAATGTTTCTGTTCAACCTCCTCCTCTTTAGTCGGCTTTTAAGGCATGTCCACCAATCCTTTGATGGATTTATTTTTTTGAAGGGACTGACTCTTAGCCCTTTACGTTGCTCTCCCGTACGTCTCAGAAGCTGCTGTCTAGAAAAACTAATACCTTGTCTTGCAACTTCTTTTAGCGTTGTGACAATTTTTTTCTTCTACAAATTCAGGGAGAGCTGGTTTTCTTCCCATTTTCGCTTCTATATCAGATTTTCCAGAAATTTTATTTTCTAGAGTTGATTTTTGGGATGTGAAATTTTTTTTCTGCTGATCTACATGACATACAACCATTTTTTATGGCATATACTGCTTTTTGAAGGGTTTCTTTGTCTGTTTGTTATAAAATATATATATTTCCCTCTCTTCTTTCTTTCTGATTTTTTTAGGCATTCTACAAAGAGGGTATTGCAGAAACTCGCGATTATTCCCGAAAGCGAGAAGTACTATTAAATACCCACGACGCATGAAGAGCTATCGCTAAATATAGATAATGCTACGTAGATGACTTTATTTATACGCCGGGTATGTCCAGCTTGTTATAACGAAATATTTCACATTTTACGTTTATTTCATGCATAGTTTTTCCTTTAACATAGACTGGCGACCTGTTAGTAAACTTTTTTCACATGTATGGTCACTGTCACCATATTGCACGAGAATAGTTAGAACAATAAAAAGCACAATTAATGGCCTCGCACATCATTTTGAAAGATGTACTCATTGTACTGTACGCAGCGTGCGTAAATATATTTTAATATATAAAAATGTTTCCAATAATTACGCTGTTGATGCAATATCCAAAAAATTCCATTCAGTCATTTCAATTTAGTTGCTTCAAGTAA